GATGCCCTACTGCTTTCGATGCTGGTCCGAAAACCTCTGCTTTGCTTGCTGCAAACACTTCCAGAAACCCTGCTTTGGGGGGGTTCTTACAAAAAGGGTGATACCATTCTGGGCGGTCCATACGTGGGTCCCTAAACCCTAAACCCTAAGCCCTAAACCCTAAACCCTAAACCCTAAACCCGTTTTCTGGGAAATACCCGGCTCTCCTCTTGACTTGAACCCAGCAGCCCCAAATCAAGCCCCCAGAGTCCCCAGTAATCGAAAAGCTGAGGGGCCAAACCCTAGGTTTAGGGTTTAGGGTTTAGGGTTTAGGGTTTAGGGTTTAGAGTTTAGGGTTTAGGGTTTCGGGTTTAGGGTTTAGGGGTTGGGAGAAAAGAAACCTAAAGCTCTAACTCCTGAACCCAAACCCGACAAAGCCAAAGACCCGAACCCCTAAGCTCCTAAACCCCTAAGCTTGGGATGTTCCCCCTTCTGCGAACAGTCCCTAATAGAGATTATGGTAACACCCTCTTATATTCCCTGTCTAGGATTGTTCGTGTACGATCAAACATCACAACCCTAAACCCTTAACCAATTTGTTGGGCCCCTGGCCCTCGATGGTGCGAAAAGCTTTTCCTGCTGTCGCCCTGGGGCAGAAACTGTGTCGACCCTAAACCGTAAACCCTAAACCCTAAACCCTAAACCCTAAACCCTAGTCTAAGTGAGGTATATGGTCCCATAGAATGGGCCCTTAAAGGGTACCCCTCTTCTACCCCTTATATACCCCACACAAATTTAAGGGGCTGTAAATCACCCCCCTTTAGATGAGGCTAGGGATCATATACTCAGGGCCCATGACACTGCCCCGAAAGCTTCCCAACCTGTTGAGGGCTTCGGGACTTCAGTGGGAGTGGGTGATTTTCCCAGGCTTCGGCACTTCAATGGGTGGTCTCCCAAAACTCACAAGCTGGAGGATGGGGGGGACCTTGTGCCTGAAAGTGTGGCTTTGTGGCGGTTTAGGGTTTAGGGTTTAGGGTTTAGGGTTTAGGGTTTAGGGTTTAGGGTTTAGGGTTTAGGGTTTAGGGTTTAGGGTTTAGGGTTTAGGGTTTAGGGTGATGTGGGTTCAGTATTTAAGGTTTAGGGCCTGCGGTTTGGGAATCTCGGTACTCCCAACCCATCGTCCGGAGAGCAGCGCTGCTTTCGCGATGGGGGCAGAGGGCGATGTCTACATTTTTGCAAGCAATATCCCTAGACACTGAGTTTCAACTCTACACCACAAACTACTAAAAAAAAACTGAAAGCGACGGAAACCCCATAGGAAGAGTCTAAACGCTTCTTTGCCCAATTGTGTCCAGGTCCCCCTGCGTCTTCGACATCTGCCGGGTGTTTAGGGTTTAGGGTTTAGGGTTTAGGGTTTAGGGTTAGGGTTTAGGGTTTAGGGTTTGCCGAGTGGCCAGGCAGGCTTCGAGTCCTTCTCATTTCGCTTCTTCTGGGCCTCCAGAGACCTCGTAGGCACAAATGAGGGGCTCAACTCGAAGAAGTTCCCCTTCTACTCGCAATCCTGAATAGGGTTTAGGGTTTAGGGTTTAGGGTTTAGGGTTTAGGGTTTAGGGTTTAGGGTTTAGGGTTTAGGGTTTAGGGTTTAGTTTAATCTCTTTTAAGGACTGTTAGTATCAGGGGGGGCACATCCCAAGGTCCAACCCTAGGCCTCGGAGGGTCCGGGGCTCAGATGTTCGAGGATTTGGAGAGTGGTGACTGGAGATAACCCTAAACCCTAAACCCTAAACCCTAAACCCTAAGCCGTAAGCCCTAAACCCTAAACCCTAAACTCTTTTAGGGTTTCGTGCATATGCAAGGCTTAAGAGCTTAGGATTTGTATCTGTCTAAGGGGCAAAGGTTGCCAAATAGCCATAAATTATTCATTTTCTGCCGTTGCTCAATTTTATTACAAGGCCAATAAGGGTAAAAGGTACCCCGAGAATAGAGCGAAGACGTCTGAACGCTAACCCCTCAACCACAAGCCCTAAAAACTCACCCAAACTAAAACATAAAGGGGTCCCTACACCCTAAACCCGTCCGGTCGGGTTTAGGGTTTAGGGACGCTTTTATGTTTTGGTTTGGGTTGAGGCTTTAGTTTCTTTGTGGCTTCGGGCTGGGGGGGCCTTTGCAAGCCCTTTAGAACCTAAATTCTCTACTACTTGCTGAAAAAAACCCTCCAATATATACAAGTATTCTTCCTTCTAAGGACAATGTCGGGACTATCATTCTTCATTTTTGTTGAGGAGTTCTTAAGCAAACAGTCGTAATTTCGGCTAGCTTTGGACGATCCTTGCGCCCAAGGACCCAAGACCCTAAACCCAAAACCCTAAAGCCTAAATAGACCCCCGAAATCTGCAAAGCCCCCTCGGGCAAGTTGAGAGGTCAAGGGCTTAAGGACTGCTAGTATAAGGGGGAGCTTCCCAAGTTTAGGGCTAAGGGCTTACTGACAAGGACCCCTTATGCCTGGTGACTTCCCGGCAATGGGGGTTTAGGGTTTAGGGTTTAGGGTTTAGGGTTTAGGGTCCAGGGTTTAGGGTTTAAGGGCTTCGGGTCCCGGAGGCGACGGTGAACTTCGGCTTCCAGGGCGGATTCACTGTCACTTGCCCGGCCGGACAGGTGGAGTGGCGGTGGCCGGTCAAACGGGGCCTCGCTCTTAGGGTTTAGGCTTTAGGCAAACGGTTTAGGGATTAATTAGGGCTTAGGGTTCAGGGTTCAGGGTTCAGGGTTTAGGGTTTAGGGTTTAGGGTTTAGGGTTTAGGGTTTGAGGGAGAGGTCTCCTAACGAGCGGATTGCCATCCGCACGTTCTCATCGCCGGCGTGTAGGACCTGCTCCGTGGCTAAACACCACTGAGGCGTGATGAAGCGTCTGCGTCAGCCGTGGCGCATGGAAAGGACCGGGGTGGAGAGAATGCCGCAGGACCGGCGGAACTACTAAGGGCTTGCGTAGGATCTAGGGTTTAGGGTTTAGGGTTTAGGGCGTAGGATCTAGGGGTTAGGGTTTAGGGTTTAGCGCTTAGGGATGTTTAGGGTTTAAGGTTTAGGGGGACCCAACTGCCCTGCCCTAAGCCCTCACTTGAATAATTCACTTACCTGGATGGGGGGGGGGGGGGGGCTGTTTGCGAGTATTGCCCTCCGTTTGCTTTTGCTTATTTGGATGGGTCTCTTACGGCATCTTCCATGTGTACCAAAAAGGCCCCCCCTCAATCCCTAAATCCCAGTCAAGGTCCACATGAGCTATCTGAGACCGAAGCCCAAAGCCTAAGCTCTAAGCCTAAGCCCTAAGCCCTAAGCCCTAAGCCCTAAGCCCTAAGCCCGAAGCCCTAAGCCCTAAGCCCTAAGCCCTAAGCCCTAAGCCCTAAGCCCTAAGCCCTAAGTCCTAAGCCCTAAGCCCTAAGCCCTAAGCCCTGAGCTCGAGGCCCTAAACCCTACTCCCTAAATGCCAGGCCGTGGGGCTTGCTTTCTTTCTGGTTGCGGCTAATTGCCTGCCATGGAGTTCAGGGGCCTTATACGCCCCGAACCCGAAACCATAAAGCCACAAAGCCTCAAAGTCCTAAACCCCTCTCCTGCAAAGGTTGAGAACCCCAAACCCTGACAATACAGAGGGAGGTTTTCACCTCCTTTTCCCATCCAACACGCCGCCAGGGTCGGCGGACCCTATAAACCCTAAACCCTAAACCCTAAACCCCTAAACCCTAAACCCTAAACCCCTAAACCCCTAAACCCCTAAACCCCTAACCCCCTAAACCCCTAAACCCCTAAACCCCTAAACCCCTAAACCCCTAAACCCTGTCTCGCCTGGATCGTCCGACGACCGGTTCATAAACCCCTAAACCCCTAAACCCCTAAACCTCTACCTTCAGACACCGAAGACCTACTTTCCTTGTAGGTTACGCCTTAGAATCTTTGGGATGTTCCCCCTTATACTTCCAGTCCTTAACAGGGATTAATAATGGGGTACTATAATCCTATAAGGGGGAACATCCCAACTTAGAATCTCAAAAGGGCCCAAAACGCGGGGGGGGGGGGGGGGGGGGGTGGGGGGGGGGGGGGTGGGGGGGGGGGGGGGGGGGGGGGGGGGGGGGGGGGGGGGGGGGGGGGGGGGGGGGGGGGGGGGGGGGGGGGGGGGGGGGGGGGGGAGGCGGGAAACGCTGATTTTGCTGAGGGCGCCCCTACCCCCCCGTGCTGAACCCCCTGTTTACGCTGTGCGGGTGGCGCGGTCCTCCACGAAAAAATTGTGCACCGACCCCCCCCACCCCCCCTCCCCCAACCCCCCCCCCCACCCCCCTGCCCCCCCACCCCACCCACCTGTCTTTTTGGCTTGAGCTTGTCCTGGTGCTACCCCCTACCCCCCCCAAACGATTCACAGAACTCTGCCGAGCAGGTTGGGATGATCTTTCATGCGAGCGGGTTTAGACCTCTCAACTATGCTCCAGCGGGGTCGGCGGCTTGAGCCGGAGGCTCTTAAATTTAGGGGGCTAGGGTTGACTGCAGGATTCGCCTGCAAGGATTCGGGGTTCGGGCTCCCAATGGCTTAGGAGTGAGGAGAGCTTTCTTAGGGTTTAGGGTTTAGGGTTTAGGGTTTAGGGTTTAGGGTTTAGGGTTTACGGTTTAGGGTTTAGGGTTTAGGGTTTATGGGTATTCTGGGGGATTCTGAATTGAAGGGATAGAGGGATTGGGGAAGAAAGCGTTTAGGCTTCAGGGCTTCGCGGCGGAGGGGTTCGAGTCTGTTTGGCTTGGTACACGTGCAGGGGTGACTATTGCCGTACCCTCAGGGAAGCTGAGGGAGCCTGACACATGGGGAGTATCAGGGAACCTAGGGTTAGGGGGTTCCTTAAGACCCTATACTAAACCCTAAACACAAACCCTGACCCTAAGACCCTAACACCCTATCACCCTAACACCCCATCACCCCAACACACTAAACCCTAAACCCTAAACCCTAAATCCTGCAGCCTTGCGGTCCCTAAAGGATCTTGTTTTGCTTCCGCCACGCGCGCGGAGTTCAGGATCGCCCGGGTGGTCTCATCCGGCTGGCAGCCGGCCTCGCGAGCCCGCCTGTACCTGAGGGATCCCGGAACCCTAGCCCTAAACCCTAAACCCTAAAACCTAAACCCTAAACCCTAAACCCTAAACCCTACAACCCTTATTCTATAGGTTTCGGTGGCAGCTTTTGTCTTTTTCTCGGGCTGGGAGCCTGTGATCCACTTATGCTCAAGAGAGCCTTCAAAATCTCAGGTAAAAAAAAGGCGCTGCCCCCCAAAGGGTTTAGGGTTTAGGGTTTAGGGTTTAGGGTTTAGGGTTTAGGGTTTAGGGTTTAAGGTTTAGGGTTTAGGGTTTAGGGTTTAGGGTTTAGGGTTTAGGGTTTAAGGTTTAGGGTTTAGGGTTTAGGACTGAGGGTTTATAGTAGGAGTTGAAGGGAGGGGGGGTTCAAGCGGCTATGTAGCCCAAGGTTCCTTGATACTCCACGCTACTCCCTAAGGCCAGCTAAGCTTTCCTAAGGTTCCGCAGATACCTCCAAACGTTTAGGGCTTAGGGCTTAGGGTTTCGGGGCCCTAAACCCTAAACACTAAAGCCTAAAGCCTAAACCCTAAACCCTTTGGGGCTTATAGGGCTTAGGGTTTAGGCGCCGTTTTGGGTCAGGGGCTGCCTCTTCTCGGTTTCGGGCCCTGGGATTGCTGCGTTGAGCCTGACGCAATAGTGGTGGCGACGTGGGATCTCGGGCTTCGGGTTTAGGGTTTAGGGTCCCTAAACCCTTGAACAAGTAAAGTCTTACCTTCAGCCCCTTAAACCCAAGATGTCCCCTCTCTCCCGCGCTCTCTCTCTCTCTCTATCTCTCTCTCCCTCTCCCTCTCTCTCTCTGTCCAAAAAACACACACGAAAAATGGTGCATACTTGTTTTTGGGTTTAGGGCTTAGATTCACGCGCTCTCCCGAGTGAGTGTGTGAGTGAGAGCAAGTGAGTCCGACACAGCGAAAAGAGATCCCAAGTGCTCCCTGTGCGCAGGGCCCTCTAAACGTCTAAACCCCAAATTTGGGATCATAGGTCCGAAGCTAGAAGCCCTTGTAGGGTACAGGGTTTCGGGTTAAGGGTCTAGAGTTTAGGGTTTAGGGTTTAGGGTATGTTTTTATGCAGACCCTGACATGCCCTAAGCTATGACCCTACTACTCAAGAATTCGCGGCATGCCACCAACTGCCGATGTCCAGATCGCCAGCGCGGCTCGCTGCCGCTAGCAGGCTGTTCCTGGCAGCGTGCAAGGGTTCATGTCGACTGGGTTGCGAACCATCTGAAAAGTGATTTAGGGTTTAGGGTTTAGGGTTTAGGCTTTAGGGTTTAGGGTTTAGGCTTTAGGGTTTAGGGTCCCTTATAACCCCCAAAAGGGAGAATATGAAGCATATCCCACAGGCCAACCTAGTTTAGGCAGAGGGCTGCCGTGCGCAGGTATAGGGACAGCCTCGGGCGTGGACCTTACAAACCCAAAGCCACTAACTTCCAAGACCCCGAATCCACCCTAAACCCTAAACCCTAAACCCTAAACCCTAAACCCTAAACCCTAAACCCTAAACCCTAAACCCTAAACCCTAAACCCTAAACCCTAAACCCTAAACCCTAAACCCTAGCCAACAAAGACCAAAGACATGAACACCCAGAGTCCCAGGCCAATCCGAAACTCCTAGACAGCCGAAGGCGTGGACCTAAGGGTAGCTAAACGACCCCTGAATTCGGGCCCTTAAATGGGGGGCCCTAAATATACCCCTTATATACCTTCAGAACCCTTTAAAAAAAGGCAAGAGGCCAGATGAACTACCCAGTAGCTACCCTTAGAGTGGACCAGATCTTCTCAGGGGCTGGGATGAAGTTTGGGGTCTTACTCGGGTTTAGGGTCTATAGGGCGTAGGGTTTACGGTTTAGGGTTGCCCAAGAGCCTCAGCCCCCTGAATCAAACACACGGGACCCAAATGACATGAAACTCAACCCTCCACCCCTAGACCCAAAGCCACATACATCCCAACCCCCTAAACCCTAAACCAAAACGCCTAAATCCTGAGCCCCAAACCCTAATCAGATGCAAGTGACAGAGCATCCGTGTCCAGATTCGCCTGGACCCGCTGGGCCTTACGGTGTCAGCGTCATAGGGTTTAGGGTTTAGGGTCCAGGGTTTAGGGTTGGGGTGGGGGGGAGATGGAGGTGCTTTTAAGTTGGGGTTCAAGGTCTTGGGCTTACGACTTGGGTTGTGGAGTTTTTGGCGTTCGGGGTCTAGTCACACGAAAGCCGCCAGCGAGGGACAATGAGTGGCACCGCATCTGCTCACTTGAAGCACCTTTTTTTTTTCTGAGAGGTATGGCATCCTTGTCAACTGCCGAAGTCGTCAAGTCGCGGGCGGACTTCTCTGTTCAGCTAGGCCGTTGGCTGGTAGAGGTCCGGAGTGATAGCGGGCAAATCTAAGTCGAAGTTTGCATTGCACCAGAATCTCAAGAGCTCGACTGAGGTGTCGTCCAAGTCGGGGTGGCCAGTACCCAACTTCACCATTCGGGTCCTCAGCTGCTTGAAGAGCTTGGTGGCCTTCTCCTTCGCCTCCTGAGGTGTCATGCTACTGAGCTTGGACACAAGCGCCTTTGCCACCAGGCCCATGTTCTCGTCCTCCAGAGGCTGGTACAGGTCCGGAGTGATGACGGGCAAATCTAGCTTGAGGCTGTCTTTGCACCAGAATCTCAAGAGATCGGTTGAGGTGTCGTCCAACTGCGGGTGACCGGTCCCCAACTTCACCATTCGTCTCCTCAGCTGCTTGAAGAGCTTCGTGGCCTTGGCCTTCGCCTCCTGACGTGGCATGCTCCTGAGCCTAGACACAAGCTGCTTTGCTGTGTGGTTCATCATGGCCTGAACAATGCTATCACTCGCTGCGTGGCGTGAGACATCGGAGCCTTCGGACTCCGAAGAAGAAGCCTCTGAAGACTCATCCTCCGCCCCCTGCAGCTCCTCCGGCTCCTTCCTCCGGCGCTTTGCCTCCGGCGGAAGATCATGGCCGGGGCTAGCAGTCCGACGCATTGCGATGGAAGTGTGCAATGTAGAGGCGGCGCCCTTAGAAGATGGCGAGCAAAGCTGCAGAGGAGCAGCTGCTTGAGCCCGCACAGGTTCGGCAGACATGACTGGAGGGTAGAGGGACCTTCATGGCTGTTGGAACCTCATAATTACCGGGGTCTGGGGGTAGCTCCTCATTGTGGTCTGACACCCCGAAACCCTAAGCCCCAAAACTCGCTTACTTCAAGGAACTAGGCGCCTCTACCCGCCCATGCGACCCTACGTGAAACCTACTCAATAGTAGGTTTCCATCTACAGGACAGCAGCCCCTGCAAAATTGGTCAGGCAACCCTAAAGTTGCCTCGTGCACACGCGTCGGACTTGGACGTTCAGGGTACTTAGTAACCAGTTATAGCTGTACTTAGAACCCACTTCTAAGCCCTCTAAGTGCCCTATAAGATGGATATAAGTACAGTTATCCTAAACCCTGAACCCTAAACCCTCTAAACCCTAAACCCTAAACCCTAAACCTTAAACCCTACACCCTAAAATACAGTCACAAATTTGCCCATAAGTACCATGAACCTCCCAGGAGGCCTCGTTCAGCCACTTCCCAGCCGCTTCGAGATCGCCCTTGTTGGCCGCAGCATTGATGAGAGTGCCTCACTTGCTCCAGCTCATTCAGGGCCTAAGCCTTAAACCCTAAACCCTAAACCCTAAACCCATGGGTGGGTTTAACGTTTAGGGTTTAGGTTAGGTTTACGGCTTAGGCTTTGCTAAAGCGACGTAGACGACTTGGGAATCACGGCTTCGGGCACAAAGGGCTTCCATTGGGCTGAACCTTAAGCCCTAAAGACGCGCAACCGTAAACCCCAAACCCAAACCCTAAACCCCAAACCTCAAACCCAAACCCAAACCCCTAAACCCCGATATGCCCGAAACCCGACAGACCGCATAGAGCATCATCTGGGTGTTGAGAGGCTTCAAGGACCCATCCCCAGCTCTTAGGGTTTAGGGTTTAGGGTTTAGGGTTTAGGGTTTAGGGTTTAGGGTTTAGGGTTTTAGGGTTTAGGGTTTAAGGGTTTAGGGTTTAGGGTTTAGGGTTTAGTGTTTAGGGTTTAGGGTTTGGGGTTTAGGGTGTAGGGTTTAGGGTCTCGGGCCCCTGGCCATGTGACATCCAGCCATACACCCAGTCCCCAGCACCCACTGAAAGTTGAGTGAAGGCGTGGGGCTTAGTTTTCAGGGGTTTGGTTTCGGGCTTAGGGTTTAGGGCTAGGGTTTAGGGTTTAGGGGTTCAGGGTTTAAGATGCGCAGAGGGGATTGGGGCGTCGGGTATAACACAAGATGGCTTCGGGGGCCCAAAATACGAGACGAAGCTCTTGACCAGACGTACTGCTGCTATCCCAGCCCTGTATCATACAATGCGTTTCATCAATGTGGGCTCTCAACATAGGGCCCGACTATACCCCACAAAAAAGCTATGACCTATGATCCTTCTTCCAACAACCCCGGGGAACATATTTCGGAAAGATCCCTTTGAAATCCTAATGTGTAAGCCCCCTTTAAACCCGTGTAAGCCTTTGAACCCTTTAACCCTATAAACCCTATACACCGACCCTATCAACCCTATGACCCCACAAACCCCACATCAAGCTTAACAATCCGGGATGCTGAAAGTGATGGCGTCGTGCTTGCTTCCGGCCACGCTGGCCCGCTCAAACCATCGCTCGGCGGCCTCCAAAAGCAAGGTTTGGAGTTAGGACTTTAAGGTTTCTTGAACGCTAATCCTTACCTAAACCCTAAACCTCAATCACCGAACACCGTGAACCCTGGACACCCTAAACCCTGAAAACCCTCAACACCCCAAACCAGCTAACCACCCCGAACCCTCAACCCTGAAGCCCAAACCCCAGGATTGTCCGGGTTTCATCCAAAAACGCCCGCATGGGCTTTTTTGGTCAGTGCTACGTAGTACCCAGAATGCCCGGAACTCAGGAGTAGACCTGGGTGCGCTTTTAGGGCCTTACACAGTCTTGGTAGCCCAACAACCATATTACCATAAGCGTATCCTTACTAGGGTTTGCTTGATAAGGGAACCTAGAACCAAGCAAAGGCCAAAAGGCACCACTGGTAGCTTGAAGGTATTGCCAGCAATTTTTCTGACTTGGCGGAGGGTTGGGTTTTCAACTTTGCTTGGCAAACATCTGCAAAACCTGGCGCATTCAACCCTGCGCACGACGGTCCTATCGCAACTCATCATATATCCTGAACGTCCTAAGCCCCAAATGGACCCTAAATGTGCGTTAAGATTCCACAAACCATAATTCCTGGAACCCTACAAGCCCCACTCTTCACCGGCAACTTGCCGCCAACCTTTTTGACCCGAAACCTTTTTGACCCGAAACCCTAAACCCTAAACCCTAAGCCCTAAACCCTAAACCCTAAACCCTAAACCCTAGACTTGAAGACTTCGGCCTCCAGGTCGGCGCTCTTGGCGCAGGCGTCCATGAGGATGCTGAAGGTGCGCTTGTCTGGGAGGATGCCGTCCGCCTTCCACTCTTGGGTTTTGGGGGTTTAGGGTTTAGGGTTCAGGATTTAGGGTTCAGGATTTAGGGTTTAGGATTTAGGGCTTAGGGTTTAGGATTTACGGTTTGGGGTTTAGGTTTTCAGGTTTCAGGGTTTAGGGTTTTAGGTTTTCAGAGTCTTAGGGTTGTAGGGTTCAGGGTTGGGGTTTAGGGCTTTAGGGTTTAGGGTTTCAGGGTTTTCGGCTTTTTGGGTTTTTAGGGCCTTGGGGTTTAGGGCTTTAGGGTGTTAGGGGTATAAGGTTGATGGTCTCGGGTCTGGCTGTTAGCATGTTTAGGGTGTTAGTGTTTGTTGGGGGTTCCGGCTCAATGCCCGGGAGATGTTTTGGAGGGGGCGTTAACGATTTTTGGGCTTCGGGCTTCTATATGAACTTGGAACCCTAGCCAAATTTTTTTGTTGCTGTTTCTTAGGAATGATAGTACCCAAAAACTAAAAACTATTTCCAAGTACTGTACCCCTAAGGCTTAGGGGAAACCCTAAACCCTAAACCCTAATACTAAACCCTAAACCCTAAACCCTAAACCCTAAGGTCTCAAGCAAGCCCCCCGCCTCCATGCGCTCAAACCACGACTCCGCCGTCCGCAGCGCGCCTTGCTTCGCGGCGGCCGAGAGCACAGCGTTGTACATGGCCACATTGGGCCGTACCTCAAGCCAGGTTTAGGGTTGAGGGTTGAGGGTTGAGGGTTGAGGGTTGAGGGTTGAAGGTTTACTATACCCTATAAGCCCCAAAAAAGGCCCTTTGGAGGGGTTGAGTATGAGGATTATCAGGCCACGTTGGGCCGTACCTCAAGCCATGTTATGTCCCGGCATGGGTTAGGTCCTGCTTCGGGTCTAGGGTGTAGGGTTTGGGTTTAGGGTTTAGGGTTTAGGGTTTAGGGTTTAGGGTTTAGGGTTTAGGGTTTAGGGTTTAGGGTTTAGGGTTTAGGGTTTAGGGTTTAGGGTTTAGGGTTTAGGGTTTAGGGTTTAGGGTTAAGGGTTTAGGGTTTGGGGTTTAGGTTTAGGGTTTAGGGTTTAGGGTTTTGGGTTTAGGGTTTAGGATTTAGGGTTTAGGGTTAAGTTTCGACGTTTGGGGCTTAAGTCAAGGTTTGTCGGCAGGGCTGGTCGGCGTGGAGGTGCGGGGGTGGGGAGGGGATGTCTGAATTCCCGCAGAAGTCAGGGGTTTCGGGCTTACTCGGAGTTTGCGCGACTATAAGCACCCCTTGGCCAACAACTTGCCAAACCCTTCACCCCGGAACCCTAACACTCAACCCTGGACCGTATACCCTGTAGCCCAAGCCACCTTCGCCGCAGCTCTCTCGTACCAGTCCTGCTGCGGGCAGGTCTACAAACGACGCCGTCCCCCAGCCGACACCCGTATCAGCCTGCTAGGCATGTATCTCATCAAAAGCTTCCAATCCATTCTATTGTTGGGGATGATTGAATGATCCTGTTCTTCATGAAATGTTTTAGAAGAGACGGCGCCCTCAATAATGGGAAATATTGGGGGTCGGTACCCTGACAAAACAGCAGAAACCCTTCAGCCCAAAGGAATGATAGCGGTCTGGGATTGAGGGTTGCCCCTTTTCAGCTTCGGACTCCCAAAATTACAGGGGGGAACATCCCCAAACAAGCCCTTTGAAAACACGAAACGCGGTCCCACAAAGAATTCCAAAAAGGGGGAGGCCACAAGCTGCACTCGTGCACTTCAAGCCGCCAGAAGGATGTCGTTTTCGGAGGCGAAAAGGTGACTCTGTGTCGCCCGGGCCATGATACGCTTGCTGTTCGGGTGGTCCAGAATGATCCGGCGCCCCTCTCCGGAGCCTCAAAAAGGCCTGAAAGCTTCAGTTCACCCACTACCCCTCGACGGACCATGGCCGCAATTGCCAAAGATAGTAACATGGCAATACGAAAATATAGTAACAAAATCTAGGGTTTAGGGTTTAGGGTCTAGGCTTCGGGTTTAGGGTTTAGGGTATACGGTTTAGGGTTTTTAGGGTTTAGGGTTTAGGGTAAGCATTTAGTGTTTGAGAATATAAAGATGTGTTAACTAGAATGACATAACAAAAGAATGGTATACCATAGTGGTATGATAAGTCATAAGGCTACGAGAGGGTCCTGTGCTTTCTTGAGGCGGCCGTCGTTGGCAGCAGCTGAGATCCTTGTCTCTTCGGCTCGCTGTTCTTTAGGACTTTGGGGTGTTTCGGGTCTTTTTCCGTAAATAGTACCCGAAATATACCCCCAAACGTCCTTAGTACAGGAAATACCACAAAGGGTAACCCTACTTTCGGAAAACCGAAGTTGAATTCAACTGTAACCCCTGAAACCAAAAGCTCTAAACACAGAGCTGGTCGTGTGACGCGAATCCTCAACACGAAGCCAAACCCTGAACCCGCCTAAACCCCAAAATCAAAGCCCTGCACCGTAAAGCCCTCAACCACCAACTTCAAGCCCGAAACCCTAAACCCTAAACCGTAAACCCTAAACCCTAAACGCCAAAACCCTGAAGGCTAAAGTGACAGGTCTGCATTTCATTTTTGTTGGGCGGCTTAGTCCATTGGTTGCAGGCTTAAGGGTTTAGTGGGCTGGGGGTGGGGGATTAGGGTTTAGGGTTGAGGGTTTAGGGTTACAGGGCGGAGATGCTGTGAAGGTTAGGCTTTGGAACAAGCTCGAAAGCTTCGTGAGGCGCGAAGAGCAGCAATGGTCCAATTTTGGAAAGCCATCTAAATTTTTCTCCCACCCCACGCTGTCCGAGGCGACAAAGCCACTCAAACCTATTCCTTTTAGGGTTTAAGCCTAAACTCAAGCCAACTGCTGACTTTCTTCATTCCGTCACGGTGGTCGCCAGCCTGGCTCAGGGTCACAAACAAGACACAGGCAGCAGGCAGAAAGGCCTGGGCCTGGGCAACCAGCACACAGACGAGGGTGCAAGGAAGGTGCAGGGGTCCTAGAGTCCTAGAGTGTAGGGGGGCCCAGGAATCAGGGTGGCCAAAGGCGTTTCGGGGCTGGGCCCAGTGAGCACCTGGCCTGAGGCCCCCTAGTCCTTGGGCTCTGCGGCGAGGGGTCCGAAATCCCTCGGCCGGGGTCTGGGGTCCCCCCGAAAAAGGTCAGCCACGCCCAGGGTCATGACGGTAATTACTTTTTTACAAGGGACCAGTACTGGTCCCGAGGAGAACGTGTTCCGGCACCGGGCCCATCGAGGGCGCTACCGACCCCCATGCTGTGGGAGGCGGGCGAGCGATCTGGGTCGGCTTGCGCCATTGGGCTAAAGCGCCGCCCCCAACCTAGGGGGGGCGGCCCTGAGTTTAGGGATAAGACTTAGGGTTTAGGGATACAAGTCTGGGCCTGAACCCCCCGCCTAAGCCCCAGAAGGTTCCCGGGACCCCAGAGGCTTCGAGCCGGCGAAGCGTCAGGGTGGTGTAGGTCACCACGTTTGGGTCGATGCGAGCCTGAACTGCCTTGCTGGCGAAGGGTTTAGGGTTTAGGGTTTAGGGTTTGGGGTTTAGGGTTTAGGGTTTAGGGTTTAGGGTTTAGGCTTTAGGCTTTAGGGCTTAGGGCTTAGGGCTTAGGGTTTAGGTTTAGGGATGCCCTAAACCCTAAGCCCCATCATCGGGCTCAGAACGCAACCCGGGCAATGCTGAACCTTCACACCCTAAGCCCTACAGCCCTTCGCTCCAACACATCCATCGTGCGGGTTCAGGGTTTAGTGTATCGGGTTTAGGGTTCAGGGTTCAAGGTTTAGGGAGATTGTTCTTTCAATATGTGTGTATTCCCTACACGTAAGGGGCATGGGCACAGCCTCTGGTCCCTGAATATGGCCCTTAACAGCTTAACGCGGGACCCCCTATGTACCCTTATATACCCTATACCCTAGACAAGGGCCCGTACATCAGAAGCCTTTAAAAAAGGTCCCGAGCACCCCCTCCGACGGGGCTAGCCGAAAAGTTTTCATAGAGCCTAAGACCTCTATGGCTTTAGGGTTTTGGGCGAGACCTCCCCTCAATGACTGAAGACATGTGGGGTTTGCTCGAGGTTTAGGTTTGGGTTTTGGGCCGAATGAGCCCGGCACTGAAGGAAAGAACCCGAAACGGAGAAAACCAAAGACCCAAGCCCACAATCCTACCCCACACCAAAAGAAACCAAAAAGAGCTAGAAACCCTTAAAACGAGCACCCCTCAACCCAAGAATCAAAACAGGTTCAGGGTTACTTTTCGAAGGCGTTTACAAGTTTCAGGGCTTTCAGGGTTTACAAGGTGCGGGGTTTTAGGCTTCAGGGCTTTTGGGGCTTCCGCGGCCTGTTGGAACCACTGCTCGGCCGCTTGCAGGTCGCCTGTCTTGGCCGCAGCGCTGATCAGCGTGTTGAACGTCACCTCCGGGTTCAGCCGGTTGAGGGTTTGTAGGTTTAGGGTTTAGGCTGCAGGGTTCAGGGTTTAGGATTTGGAGTTTAGGGTGTGTCAGGGGAGGGCGCGCTCGAGTGTGAAACGCCCCAGGACGCGCGCTCGCGTTGCTTGTCAACCCACCCCGGCCACCCACACTATACTCCATTAGGTGCGCTGATGCTCGTCTTAACAGTTGCGTTGCTAGGGGCTTAGCTAAGGTTGGCGGTGCCTCGGCCCTTTTCGGGCCTTCGGCGTCTCAGGGCCCGTGGAGGCCCTTATGAACTTGAAGGCGCAAAGGAAAACCCTAATCATCCTAAATTTTATAGTTCTTAGGGTTGGGGAGGTGATTTGGGCGGCCCCTGGCATTCCTGCAACCTCCCGCTCCACCGGACACCAATCCTGGTCCCAGGAGGGGGGAGGGGGGAGGGGCAGGAGGGGGAGGGGGGGGAGGAGGCGGAGGGGGGGAAGGGGGAGGGGAAGGGGGGAAGGGAGGGGGGGGGGGAGTTCAAAAAACCTAACTCTTCCTCAACACAAACCCGACAAAGGTGAACCCAATCCCACTAGGATACACAAACCCTGAACCCGAAACTTCCTAAACACCCTACCCCCAAAACCCCCAAGCCCCTAATTCCTAATTCCTAATCCCTAAACCCTAAACTCCAAAACCCCCAAACCCCCTAGTCCACGAAGAACGCCCCCAGGTGACGCGGTCTGGTCTCGCGCCCATGAACTTCGCGGTGCGGAGCCACCGCTCGGCTGAGGCAAGGTTGCCCTGCCTCTCAGGGTTTGGGGTGTACGGTTTAGGGTTTAGGTTTTAGGGTTTAGGGTTTATAGGGTTTAGGGTTGAGGGTTGAGGGGCTGAGGGGCTGAGGGTTTATAGGGTTTAAGGTTTAAGGGTTAAGGTCCACGGTTTGAGTGTTCATTCAGGGTTTAGGGTTAGGGTTAAGGATTTAGGGGTTGAGGGTTCATTCAGGGTTTAGGCCTTGGGGGTTGGGGGTTTAGGGTTTGAGGGTACGTTAAGGGTTTAGGGTTAGGGTTTAGGTTTGAGGGTTCCTCAAGGATTTAGGGTTTGAGGGTTCATTAAGTGTTTCGGGATTTAGGGTTGTAAGGGTTTAAGGGTTTAATCAGGGTTTGGACCTTGAGGGTTCATTGAGGGCCTAGTAAGGCTCCATGAAGGCTTGTTGAGGGTCTATTTCAAGTTTAGGTTTAGGAACAACAGCCACCAGTACGAATGAAAAGCATGTCAATAACGCAGGCCCCACAGCACACCCTTCTGCTAGGTTTTTGGGTTTAGGCTTTAGGGTTTAGGGCTTACCATGGGTTTCTTTGGGGTCTTAGGGTTTAATGTTGTGCTAAGGGTTTCGAAGCCTTTTGGGGTTTGGGTCTATTTTCAGGGTTCAGGGTCTCTGGGCTTCAGGTTTAGGGCTTCAGGCCTTTGGGTTTAGGGCTGGGCTTTGGGTGTGCTGGATTTGGTGGCGCAAGGCTTGATTGATAGACCGAGAACTTTCTGGATGCGGGGTGAGAGGGC